CAAAGTTTCAAAAGTTGGTTTATGTCAAAACATCAAAATTCAAGTATCTCATATTTTCATGTTTTGAACATATTTGCAAAATGATGATATTTTTCATTTGGGAAGTCCTCTTTCAAAACCAGTCCTTGTAGCATGTTTATTATCATGTCTACAATCATTCCCCAAAGTTTTACATTTTTTGGAATTTATTTGATATTTTTAAACAGTGTTTTAAAATCAGATAAACAATTTTTCAGAACCTGTCATATCTGTTTTCGGTCGACCGCACCGGTCGACCGAACCTGAGGTCAAAAGTTCACTGGGCGACAGAAAGCCTGTCGGTCGACCGGTCCGGTCGACCGATGAAAATTTTCGGTCGACCGACGAATTTTCCGGTCGACCGACGAGTGTTCCTTCAGCTTCCAACGGCTAGTTTTTTGACCGTTGCCTTGGGGCTGTTTTGTCTTTTGCTCTGGTTTCTTGGCTGAGTTGTGAGAGGGTATAAATACCCCCATTGTCTTCAACTCTCAAGCTAACCAAGAAATATTTTAAAAGAAAAGAAAAGTTTAAGCAAGGGTTTAGAGTTTTACTGTTTGTTTTGAGTTTGGGTTTCTGTTTACAAAGGAGGAAGTTTTTACTGCAGATTGAGGGATTCATTCTCAATCCCCTTCATCCTCTTCTTGTGTTCTTAGAGAAGTTTTCTAACTCTTTTCTCTAGCAATTTCATTATTGATTTTCATATTCTTATTATTGCTAGTTTGTTAATTGAGTTAGATTTTATTTTACTCATTGTTACACACACCCACATTGAGCTTTTAGTATTTACATACATAGTATAGTTGGGTGGTGAGAGATTGTAACTTTGAGTTGTGCTTAATTGAGTTCTCAACTATATGCCTCTTTGCTAGGATATATCATATTGTATATTGCTTATCCTAGTTCATATATATTGTTGCATTTCATACTTGCTAGGATAACTTATTAATTAATTTTAATTGGCATAAAATCGGATTAGATTAGCATAAGACCCTAATCACCCCCCTTCTAGGGTCTAACAACACTATGTTTTTG